TAGGTTAAATATGCAAGACACAGTAGTCAATGACTATAGTAATCTATTATTTGATAAACCCAAAGACCCCAGCTTCTGGGATAAGAACCCACTCTTTGAAAAAAACTGCTGGGAAAACTGGAAAAGAGTATGGCAGAAACTAGGCATAGACCCAAATCTCACACCATATACCAAAATAAAGTCAAAATGGGTTCATGACTTAGATATAAAGGCTGATACATAAGTAAACTGGGAGAACAAGGAATAGTTTACCTATCAGATCTATGGAACAGAAGAATTCATGACCAAACAGGAGATAGAGAACATTATGAAAAGCAAAATGGATAATTTTGATTACATTAAATTGAAAAGTTTTTGCACAAACAAAGCCAATGCAACTAAGATTAGAAGGAAGGTAGAAAATTGGGAAAGAATTTTTACAACCAGTCTCTCTGATAAAGGCCTCATTTCTAAAATATATAGAGAATTAAGACAAATTTATAAGAACACAAGCCATTCCCCAATTGATAAATGGTCAAAGGATATGAACAGACAGTTCTCAGATGAAGAAATTAAAGCCATCTATAGTCATATGAAAAAATGCTCTAAATCATATTGATTAGAGAAATGCAAATCAAAACAACTCTGAGGTACCACATCACACCTATCAGATTGGCCAACATGACAAAACAGGAAAATGATAAATGTTGGAGAAGATGTGGGAAAATTGGAACACTAATACATTGTTGGTGGAGTTGTGAAATGATCCAACCATTTTGGAGAGCAATGTGGAACTATGCCCAAAGGGCTATAAAATTGTGCATACCCTTTGATCCAGCAATAGCACTTCTAGGGCTATATCCCAAAGAGATCAAACAAATGGGAAAAGGACCCACATGTACAAAAATATTTATACCAGCTATTTTTGTGGTGGTAAAGAATTGGAAATTGAGAGGATGCCCATCAATTGGGGGATGGCTAAGCAAGTTGTGGTATATGAATGTAATGGAATACTGTTGTGCTATAAGAAATGGTGAACAGTCTGACTTCAGAAAAACCTGGAAAGACTTGTATGGTCTGATGCTGAGTGAAGTGAGCAGAACCAAGAGAACATTGTACACAGTAACAGCCATGTTGTGCAATGACAAATATAGAGAAACTTAACCCTTCCCAGCAATACAAGGATCTAAGATATCTCCAAAGGCCTTGTAATGGAAAATGCTATCCACATTTAAAGAAAGAACTATGGAATTTGAATGCAGATCAAAGCATACTACTTGCTATTTTTTTTTCTCTTCTGTTGAGTTATGTTTCCTCTTTCTGGTAGTTCCTCCTATTGGTTTTAATTTTTACTTACAACATTGCTAATGTGAAAATATGTTTAATAGAAATGTGTATGATAGCCTATATCAGATTGTGTGCAGCCTTGGGGAGGGTAGTGGAGAGGAAGGGAGAAAAAATTTAAAACTCAAAAGCATGTGGAAGTGATTGTTGATGAATCAAAATAAATTAATTTAAAAAAAAGAAAAAAAGTTAAAACTAGAAATTTAAAAGAGCATGCTTGTCCAGTTTGGGAGGCTAGCTTCTTTACCTTGAGCAGAATGTGCTGAACCTGAGTGATGCTTCTAGGCAAAGGTTACCCTAGGACCCAAGGCCATTGCCAGGGGGACCCATGGTGTAGCTGCTGCCCCTCCCCCCTCCTTCCTTTCCCAAGTAGGGGAAGGTGAAATCAAAGGTGAGGGATAAAGGGTGAAACTCTCTTCTTCTATGAGAGGGGTTAACAGATACCCTCTTGACTCAAGGGAAGAGAGTGGGAGAAAGGAATGACCAGGGTTGTAAGGAGGAGTTTCAAAACTCCTTAATGATCAATCACAAAACCTCCAGAATCTGCCAAGATATTTTTACCTGTTTTAACTTTTCCCTGTAACCTCCATGAAGGAGGATTCAGAAATGTAGAGGGAAGGGAATAAGTAAGCCTCAGGGAACTGATGAGGATGGGAGCTAAATCCCAAAAAGGAAAAACCCTGGACTTTCCCAGGTGGCCATATCTCTGGTGTTTGCTTGAGGCTGTAATCCCATCAACTGGCCTTTCTTTGTGTCTATACCCAACCTCCCAATTCTGTTATCCTTAACCTAGCCTAGCCCTCCTTATGGCCCCAAGCTATTTCCCACACTTAATCCCAGCTAGGCTCCATTGTCCAGGTCCCAGGAGTCCTGTTCACCCCAGTTTACTGGCCATTCCCATCTAGATCCTCCTTAGACTCCTCCTCCAGTCACCCCAAACTACTTGACCACTCCTAGATCCCTCCCACAGTCTTTCTGTATGTAAAGTCCATCTTGTCTCCATTAAGGTGCTCAGATTCTCATAATCTAGCCAATAGCTCACAGATGCTCAGATTCCTTAAGAGTCTAGCTAGTATGGCGGATCTTTAATAAACCTTGTCTTTGGCTGAAAGAAGGCTTAGGTCGAATTCTTTCAGACAGGACCCATGTGTCGTGATCTTAGGGTTCCAGCACCCCTAACTTCTAGACCTCATCAGAACCAAAAAGCAACTACAGTTTTCCCCAATTCCCTAGCGCCCAAGAGAACTGACAGAATTGGGTATACACTTCCTGGTAGGGAATCCGTCCTTCTCCTCTATGCTCCAGAAGGTGTACCTAGGTCCACGGCCTTGAACCGAACCAGTGGACCAATAACCTGAGAGTGTCAGACCTAGTGTGAGACAGCCTCATAACTGTCTGCCTGAAAAGCACCTTGAAAGACTGCTTGGAGAGTGACCCCAACTGCAGAGCAAGATGTGGGGGGGAAGGGCTTACATACCTTCCAGTTTTGGCTAAAGAAGAACTTGAGTCTAGGCAGTTTCCCAGTATGGGACACTGAAATGTTGGAGTTTAGAGGTGCTGGGACCCCAATATGACAACATGCAAATCCTGCCCAAAAAAATTTGACCCAAGCCTTTTTTCAGCCAAAGACAAGGTGTATTAGGACATCCGTCATATTGGGCAGGCTCTTAAGGAGTCTGAATGTTAGTGAGCTATTGGCTAGATTATAAGAATCTGAGCTGTTTATTGTTATTATTAGATAATTTTGCAAACATTTAAAAAATTACATCATCCCTTCAAAACTAGCACACAGATCTATTGCTTCAGTAGTTGAGAATTTGACTTTTCCTCCGCAGCAGGGGTAATAATAGCTAACAGCTGCATAGAACTTCATATACGTTGTCTTACTTGATCATCAAAATAGGACTGTAAAAGGTAGTTATTACCACAATTATACCCATTTTAACAGATGAAGAAACCGAAGCTCAGAGAGGCATGATTGTCTGAGGCAGAACTAGAACCCAATTCTCACCTGAATCGTGGGATTATACATTTAGAGATAGAAGGGAACTTTAAAGTAATCTATCCCAATATTCTTGCTTTACAGTTATGGAAACTGAGACCCAGAGATGAGACATATCTTCTTCATGGTACTGGAGGGAGGTAGTGTCAGCTGGAATCTGAATCTATGTCCTTTTAATCAAATCCAGCATTCATTCCCCTACACCAAGAGGAGGGGGATGTGTTTCACTGTTAGTCCTTGGAGTCAAGATTTGATGGTGGCTTTACTCCATTACTGTTCCCTTTGCACCTCTATTAAGAATAAAAGAGAGAGGAAGGGGGAGAGGAAATGAAATACAAAGTAATGAAATTTCCTCTCTATTCATTTTCTGTCACAAAGTTTATCCAGGAGTGGAGGTCAAAACAGAGAACAATTATCTTCAGAGAAGTCCATACTGTTCTTTTCCTGCCTATCTATAAACAATAGGATGCTAAGACAGGAGAGGGAAGCTATGGAATGATGTCCTTAATTTCTTCAGCAAAGCCTGAATATTGAAATACAATTAGTAGAACCTTAGACTTTTAATATATGAATTATTTTTTCAAAATATTGATAATAAAAGTTGAAAACTATAACATCTATTCACTTTTTAATTGTTTACTGCCTTCCTCACATCAAGTGTATTTCCCTTTCTTTTCTTTAAGAAACAACACATTTTTCATCTTTAATTAAAATGTGTTCAGAATACATTGGAATTCACATTCATTAGAAAATATTTAAAAAACCCTGCAGAAGACATTTACAAACAACCAACTTAATCATTCTAGACCAAGTCCAAATAATATAGGTCTACCCAGGTGAAATGTAATAAACTCCTGAAGGGCTGGGGCATTTATTTGTGTTTGTGCATTTTTCAGCACCAAGGACAGCACTAGGCAAATAGTTCTTAATAGCTCTCAATGCATTGAATGAACGAAGATTTGGAGCTGGAAAGGACCTTAGAGGTCATTTAGTCCAGCTCTTTTATTTTTCAGATGAGGGAACTGAGGCCCAGAGAATTTAAGTGACTTCCCAAAGTTATTTCATTTGATTCTTGCAACAGCCCTATGGAATAGGGTCTATTATTGTCCCCATTTTGCAGATGAAGAAATTGAGGCTAAGGTGAGGGTAAAGAGGAAAAGTGATTTGCTCAGGGACATACTACTAGTAAGTATGTAAGGCATGATTCCAGCTCAGGTCTCCTAATGTTAAGCCTCACCCTATGCCACCTAGAACCCTTTTTTTGGGGAGGGATTACATATTCTGAGAGTAGATATACATTAAAATAACATTTATTTTAAAGAACATATTAAAATTTTGATTTGTAGAATGCGAGTTGGTATGAAGGTATAAAATAAACTCTTTTGAGGAGGCTACACAACCTTTCAGATTTATCACTTGCTATAGCATTCTTCTTTAAATCCAAACCTGTGACACCATTAGACTGCTATGACAAGGCTGTAATAAACCACTTTGGTTGATTTCAACATCAGATCTGTCTTGTCTTCAATTCCATGTTACCATATAATTTATTTCTCACAGCATTTGGCCTACTGTTATAAAATAAATAACAATACAGTATTTTCAGACCAAATGTCTCAAAAGGTTACCTTTCAACTCCTTATACAATAAGAATTGCCTTTTTCTCTGCTTCCAGGGCTATCGAGATCTCTCACAAGAAGGCAGAGTCAGAATTGTAACACATGAAGTTATTGTCTCTATCACTTTCACAGTAAGAGAGAAATTCTGAATTTAGAATTCCAGAAGAACAGCAAAACAGGCCCTAAAAGTTGTGAATGACAGGTGGGTTTTATGATAAAGCATGTGATCCAAATATATTCATTTAAGAATGTATTGTTTTCATATAAACTATTTCTTAAATCTACAGACAAAGGGGTCCAACTATGTCAGTATGGCAGGGGCTACACAACGAGGTGTTGGATCCTAGTGCTGGCATTTTATGGTCAGCACTATAATTTCCCTTGTCCTCTCCAATTTTACTAGATTATAATTATAGAATCATCTTTAGGTCAGTCCAAAGAGACAGCAGGAGATCCAAGCTTCATAGAAGCACTGCTCTTATATCTTGAAATTCTATGGAGAAATTGACAAAACCCTCCAAATAAAATCAACATATACCTTGGTACTTGGTGACTTCAGTGCAAAAGGGGCACAGGTAAGAGAGCCAAAAAGAAATTGGAAAATATGGTTTAGGATAAAGAAATTTAGAAAGGTTAAATGTCTTGGAGACTGCCAAGAACTCTCAAATTTGTATATTCTGAATATTCTCTTTAAGAAGAGAGCTGGGGGCAGCTAGGTGGCACAGAGCTCCAGTCCTGAAGCAGGAGGACCTGAGTTAAAACCTGACCTCAGACATTTATTAGCTGTGTGACCCTTGGAAAGTCACTTAACTCTGATTGCCTCCAAAAAAGAAAGAAGAAAGAAAGAAAGAGAAGGAAAGAAAGTTAGCTTGAAGGAGCTGGGCATGATAAAGATTGAACAATATTGGAGAAAAATGTAATTGATTATATCTTAATAGATAGGAAACAATAAATTAATTAGAAAGAGTAATTGCTGATTTTTGTGAATTAGTTTTTTCTTCTATAACATCTGAGTTACCATATGGGCACAGTGGATAGAGTGTTGCATTTAGAGTCAGGAAGACCTGAGTTCCAATTCTGCCTTAGTCACTTACTAGCTGTGTGGCCCTAGGCAAGTCACTTAACCCCTATCTGCCTCTGTTTCCTCATCTATAAAATAGGGATAATAATAGCACCTACCTTCCAACATCCTTGTGAGATTCTTGTGAGGGATATTTGTAAAGGGTTTCCTTCACACAATGCCTGGTATATGCTTGGCACTTAATAAATATTTATTCCTTTTCTTCCTTTCCATTCATATGTAGAATTTCAAGGGGAAAATCTGTAGCTATGTCCATCAGAGAGCTTTTGACCCTCACTTCTGACAATTAATCAGCAATCATTAAGCATTTATTCAGTACCTGCTGTGTGCCAGGAACTCTGCAAAGGGCTGAGATACAAAGATTAAAGTGAACCAGTCCCTACTTTGAAGGAAATTATGTTCTAATGGGGTAGATAACTTGTCTGTCTGTGTGTATGTTTTTTATATACATGCACACACATACATTTATGTGCATATATATATATAATATATATCTAGATAAAATGTATATAAAATTAGTGAGAAAGAGAAGAAGAAAGGATTAGTTTGTGAGCTCTTTGTATCCCTAGTGCTTAACATAGTGAGAGCTTAATAAGTGTTTATTGCTGACCTAGCAAGCACAGAACTAAACACTTCCTAGAGAGTGAAGTTCCCCTTAGTCCCTACCCTTCTTCTTTCTCGTTTCCCATCCCTCCTCTGCAGAGCCTAGGATTATGCTGAACATGTTATAGGTGCTGAACAAGTAGTGCTTTTCTAATAAGAATTGATATAAAATTTAATAAACAGGCAATATCTAACTCAAATTTTATTGATCATCTGCTTAATACTTCCTCATAAGAATAGCTTTCTCATTTGTCCTGACTCTTCCATGCATATGTAACACAGACTAACCTCATCTCCACTGCCCCAAGACCAGGCAGTTTGCATTTCACTCCTCCCCACAGGTTCTGTTACCCTTATGGGGGTTGGAGGTATCTGGGTTCCTTGCTGTTGACTTCAGCCCCAATCTGTGGTATTCTCTCAAGTGTAGGTGTGATCTTCTGCACCCCAGTTCCATATAGCTACTAACAGATTAACTTTTACAAAGGAGTATATAGTTCAAAAAGTATAATCCAAAATATGTAAACTTACTCCCCAATACATGTGGCGTAATCTACCCCTCTCACCCCATATCACCTTATTTATTGCAAAGTGGAAGGGGATTATGTTCCCAGCTATACTCAATTCCTTTAGAGCACAATCCAAGGTCCATGTCCAAAATGCCCATCAGGCTCAAGTCCCAGGCTGTCTGGCTTCCCTTGGCTTCTCTGCCTGGCTAGCTAGCTTCAACCTCCCGCTTGGAATCCTGGCTCCATTGTTCCCATGGCTCTAATTCCCAGTCCTGTGAAGATCATTGGCACCTCAATCTGAGAAAGACAGATGAAACAGAACAGAAACAAATACTACTAGGCCAGTCTAGTGGAGGGTATACTGCTTCCCAGTTCAGTTTGTAGTGCATGTATAACATCAGCCCAAAACAGTGAACTCTCTTAGTCTGGACATCTTAAGGGGGTAGCCAGTTCTGGTGAGGCAGCCAATGAAAGCAAGCTACCTCCACTCATATCTTAGGGGATATGGGGATCCTTAATGTTAATTGATCTAGGAATGCACATGTAACTCCTGTTACATATACAATTTTATAAAAAATGATTTTTCTTCCTCTCTAAGTCTCACATATATAAAAATATTTGGCCCTGCCACTATACCCAGTATGAGGTTTCTTTAGGGCAATGCCAGTCAATCATAAGTCTCTGAGCAGTCTTAGACCAGACTTTGGAACTGATAATAGAACTGTATACTTTGGTGAAATTCCCATCAGCTCTTTTATAAGTATTACAAGCTAACTGTTGGTGTTTTATGGGGTTCTGAGACCTGGAAAATGACAAGTTAAGGCAACTTAGCCCATATGTCTCCTTATTCTGTTTACCTAGTAAAGGGGCTGTAGAAAAAAATGAGTTTTTCTGGGGAGTGATAAACCTGGATGTAGGTTCCTTAGAGTATGTACCCCTTTGTTCTTTTTTGGTGATGCTTGGCACACTGTGGTCTGTGTCAGTCAATAGATGTGTAGGGCTGGGTGAGAAGGAGTTAATACATTAGCGTCAGACTCAGCTAGACAACATTTTTTCCCCAAAAAAGCACAAGGTAGTAGAGCCACCATCTTACCACAGCCTCCCTCTGATGCATCTCAGAGTATTATTGGATTAAGTTATGTATGTGATAGGCTACCAACAAGAGCTTTCCATTATTTTTTGTGCTGAAGTGATGATTTTTCTATCTAGTTATGTCTCTCATAAACGAAGCAAATATGCAAATATGCAAATCCTTTAGAAATTCTCATTTTAGTAAAAGGCAAACCTGGGTGAAAGAATTCACACATTCAAGATATAGGATTATGTAGAGAGGAAGCCAGAGTCTTCACTTTAAGCCACTGCATATCTACTGAAAGCTCACTAGGTAGAACTTTAATTTGGGGGAAATTATTTTCCCTTTAACAGTTTCAAGTCCCTCACAATTTTAGCCTTAAAACTTCCAGAGAGATGAGAAAAGCCTAGTGAGGTGAGAACATAGTTTAGTGAATATGGTGTTTGATTTTGAGTCAGGAAGACCTTTGTTTAAATCCTGCCTCAATACTTACTAGCTGTGTGATCTCAGGCAATTCACTTTGCCTCTCTGGGCATCAGTTTTTCTTCTATAAAATGAGAGGGTTAGATTAGAAGGCCTCTGGAGTTCATTTGAGCATTTGAACATCTCTGACTACAGTCCAGGGGCCCCAATACAAGCAACTTGTGTTGCTTAAAGGAATGACCGTATGAAGAGTGAATTGAGGCAGCCGATAGAAAGCACACATTTGAGAAAGTAGTCAGTGACTTAGATGAGAGAAGCTTTGTTCAGAGTGGGAGGACGTGGTACATTGGCAAGAACACTGCATTTGGCCTTAGAGAGAACAGGTATGAATCCCAGCTTTCCTAATTACTACAAAGCTGTAGCTTTTGACTTACTTTCAAATTTGTTGTACTCCAGGCTTAAATTTTTCTACACTAGCACTGGGCACCTAGGCAAATATTCACTTGTGTGCCTGATTTGACAGTGGTAATGTCTTCACTAAACTTCTGATATTTAAGACTAGCCATTTTCTCTTCTTTCTCTTCTTTCCTTTTCCTTTCTTTCTTTCTTTCTTTCTTTCTTTCTTTCTTTCTTTCTTTCTTTCTTTCTTTCTTTCTTTCTTTCTTTTTCTTTCTTTCTTTCTTTCTTCCTTTCCCAGCTGTTATTCCATATCTTTCCTCCTTTTTTTGCCTAAATTCCTTGATTAGGCCATCTATATTTGGTTCCTCTACTTCCTTTCTTGTCTGTCTGTCTGTCTCTTTTTCTCTCTCTCTGAAAGAGTTTATTTTTTCAGAGGAGTCAAAATATTCACATATAAAGAGGCAGAGGACAAAATATGAACTTGGATCATTCATTCCTTAATTGTACATTTTAAAAGAGAATTTCACAGCAAGTGACATGATGCCAATGAGTTTTTCAGATTAGAATGCAAACAAAAGCAAATCACCATCATTTGGATGTCATCAAAAGTCCTTGTTGTCCATTCCCCATTCTCTCCCCCTACCCCAAGGTGTCAGGAATCCCTCTAGGTTTTTTTCCTGTGGGGGAACTGTCAGGATTGAGAAACAAATTGGAAAGAAACCTGCTCTACTGTGCATGAACAGGCTTGACTTTAAATAGGGTTTAGGAATGGCTCTATAGAAAGAGACAATCCCCTGCACCTACAGTGCCACTCTCCTGGACACAGATTTAGCTGCCAAAGAACTCCATTTCCAGCTATTGTTTGGAGTTACACATGGGGCTCTCTACCTCAGCTGTGGTTGGTGTACATCTAAGAAGAGTAAAGCTAGGGATAGTGAGAAATCTGATCTTCTTTTTGTCCTACTGAAGAGGTGCTATCCTTTTGTTGTTGAATTCACAAACCCCTGGAAAGCTGAACATTGCCCTGTAGTTGGATCTTTACCTTCTGTTGTTTCAGTGTTCTGTATTACTGGAATCCTCATTTTCTCTCTAAAATCTTTCTCTCCCTGCAGGAATTTTCTTCAACTATCAACTAACTCTAAAGCAGCAAACTTGGCCTTACCTTGCCAAATTTGTTCTACTCCTTCTATCTACTAGTGCCTGACCCTTACTTACATGACTGAGCCATCACATCTGTCATAATGAGAGTGATTGCGAGAGAGGAGAGAAAGAAGAGAAGGAGATGTCCATCCTAAGTAATTTCTGAGGTTAAAACTTCAAGGGTAAGGTCAGGAATACAGTTACTAATTCCAAGGTTTGTTTTTATCGGTGGGTAATATTAACCCTTTATTAGTCAAACTGTACATTGTAATGTAAAAATAGCTGAATGTTTTATGTTGTAATGAATGGTGTTTGGTGTAATTGAGAGTTTAGTAAGCATTTTTAATGGTGATGGTTTGGATGGCTATATTTACACTAAAGGAATCCATGACTACTTCCATAAATTCAAGACTTGATTTGGCTTTTTTGCTCCCTTCACCAGTACTGAACTGTTACATGGGCAATAGAAGCAGAGATTAGAATGTATCCAAGTGTCATAGTAGGAGATGAACTGGAATCAGCATACAAAAGCTATTGATGATAAAATGTTCTCCTAGTCTGTGTTTCTCCCCTTTCTTCTCTGGTCTTAACCTTTCAGTAAACTGAAATATCATTTTTAGACACTAGATGGCACCAAAAACGGATATTTTCCTCAATAATCCTTAAACATCTATTAAGCATATATTTTGCCAGTCACGGCAGATAGCCTTTGCTAAAGTATGCAGATGAACGAAATGTCATTTATAAAGAAAAGCAAGAAGACCAATTGGCTAAACCATAGAGTGTGAAAGGGAATTGTATATTCTTGAAAATAAGCTTGAAAGAGGATATAGCCAGGGAGCTCCTCAAAGGAGCCTGTATTTGATGCAAGATGAACTGGAAGCCATTGGAATTAACTGAATATGTTTTTTGACGATTGCTATTAGAATATTCCATTAGCTGTTGAGTGAATGATAGACTGGAGAAGGGGAAAACTTGACACAGATAACCCCAACAGTACATTATTTTAGTAGTACAGGGGATAAGTGACAACATACTATGTAAGTAGAGAGAATGGGGTGAATACAGGCAATATTGTGGAAATAGTAATGACAAAATTTGGCAACTGATTGAATCTATAGCAGGACAGAGAGGAGATCATAGACTAGATAAGGATACAGACAGACAGATAGATAGGTATTGAGAATAAAAAATAAAAACAAGATAATTTATGACCTCAGTGAGATGACATTCTGGTAAGGAAAGAGACTACCTAAAAGGAAGCTTAAAAGAGAGGAAAGGGGACATAGTTTATAGGTGGTGTCCAGAAAAGGAGGGGGAGATTAGTTCCAGGCAAGATAAGGTCCAAGTTCACCTGTCAGAGTAGGACTTTGAGGTTGCAAACCTGGGTGGCTGGAGAGATCCTTATGTCCCTAACAGCAAAAAGGAAGTTCAAGAGAACAGTGGATTTTCTGGGTGAAATCATACTTTCTGTTTTGAACATGTTCATTTGGAGTTGCCTTTAGCACATCTAGTTCCAAATGGCAGCCAGCCGTTTCTCCCTTACTCACCTTCTTCCCTTCAAGTTATAAGCAGCTAGAGTGATGTCCCCTCAAATATAGAATTTCCCTGTTTAGCAAAACTTATGTTTTTGTTCTAGACATAGTATGAAAGGAAGACCAAGTTAAGCCATTTTCTTGGATTTATTTACTCCATGTTTTGCTCTTGTGGGTGGGTAACATTAATACTTCCCTCAGTTCACATGCACTATTCAGTATTCTCCTATAGCAGATGACCTTTGCTATGACTAAGGGCTTAGTTGGCATTTTTAGAGGTGATGATTTGGTCTGAATGGCTAGATTTACACCGAAGGAATCCATTACTAGCTCCCTAAATTAAGGACTTCATTTGGCTCTGTCTTGTCCCCTTTTACTGGGACTGAACTATTACATGGGCTAATATCCAATAAAAACAGGATTTGAAAGGTTTCAAAGTGCCATTGTAGGGGTTAGACAGGAGCCAGCATACTCAAAATGTTGATCATGAAATGTTGCTCCATTAGTCTATGCTTCTCCCCTCCTTGCTTGTCTGGTATTAATCCCTCAGTAAACTGAGGGTGCTATTGAAATATTCCAGTTAAGTGATGAGAAGGGAATAGATGTAAGATCTATTGTGGAAGTCATGATTGATTCAGGTGAGTGGCACAAAGCAACACTAGCATAGGTTCAATTGGTTTATTGATACTCACAACCAAGCATGTAGGAGGGTATGGACAGATGAACAGCAGTTTGGTCAGGGAGAGAGTGTCATGTCAAATTCTACTCACTGACCATCCCATGGGGCAGAATGCAGTGTAATAGCCCAGATGAGCAATGGGATGAGGGATCTGGTTGAAGGCACAGAGCCCTAGGAGTCTGGTTTCAATAGGGTTTTCATACAATGGGCCTCACATGGCAATTATCACATGGTTGGTGAGGTGATGGGTTCAGAGAACATGGACCAATAGCAAAGTGGGCATCTCTAAAGATTTACCAGGAAGACCTATTCAGGAAGAGGAGAATTTAATAACTACCACATCATCAAGCTTGTGGAAGAGTTTCACTGGCTAGTTCTAATAAGAACTGATTTCAGGTCGGCCTTATGAGGACTGATATATGGAAGAGTAGGGCCATAGGCAGCTCTGGCTACTAAATACAACCCTGATCCCTCTTTCCTAGACTGTCTCAGCACAAATTTTCCCTTCAGAGGAGATTTACCTCAGCCAAGAGGACATAATACAGATGAGGATACATCTTTCCATTGGATTCATCTCAGGACCCATTTGACCTCCATAGTATTCTATGGCACACAAGATGAGTATTGGGGAAACTGACTGAGGAAGGCCTCAGCCTCCCCAAGAGGCTCACCTTGACCAGAAGAACAAATTCCTTGGCTATTTCTATTTGAAGTTGGAGAACCAATTGAGCTGTTCCCTAATCTTTTCCATGGATGTTGCCATTTCTCCACTAATATTCACCCCAAAGCAATGTGCAGTGTTGGTTGTGGGACAGTTGCCTTCTTCACTAGCTAGCAGATAACCTAGGGCAATGTTGTGGTCTAAAACCATCAGTGCCAGGGAGTGAAGATTTCTTTCCTGGGCACCTGTGGCTTTATTGGTTTCACTGGCTATGAAGGCTGTGATAGCTCATAATTCATTCCACCTCACATGGCCTTATCTACAGTAGGAAGAACCTAACAATTCATTGGAATCCAGTTTCTCAAATGTCCTGTTTGAAAGTTTTCCCTACACACACTGTGTAAGTCAATGAATCTGCTCTTCAGCAGGTTCTTGTGTATAGTAAATAGTGTGACCATCATACCAGGGGAAGAATCCTTGTTTGGGACCAGTGTGAGGCAATCTGTGGTAACCCAGAGACACAGGATTGCATGAGGTCTTTGCCAGGACAGAAAATTTGCATTTAAACTATTGTCAAATCTCCAAAGGCCTTGTGATGGAAAACACTGTCCACATCCAAAGAAAGAACTATGGAGTTTGAATGCAGATCAAAGCATACTATTTGCTATTTTTTTTCTTCTGTTGAGTTTTGTTTTCTCTTTCTGGTGGTTCCTCCTATTGGTTCTAATTCTTACTTACAACATCACTAATGTGAAAATATGTCTAATAGGAATGTATATGTATAGCCTATATCAGATTGTGTACCGTCTTAGGGGAGTATGGTGGGGAGGAAGGGGGAGAAAAATTTTAAACTCAAAAGCATATAGAAGTGATTGTTGATAAATCAAAATAAATTAATAAAAAAAGAAAAAAATAAACTGTCAAGGGAAAGGCTTGTCTACATTATTAATGGAATTCCTTTCCATTTTAGGAAGCCTGGGATTGAATAGTTACGGATTTGAGAGAGCTTGGTTGCACACAAATATCACTTAATTTCTTACAATTTTCCCACATTGTAGCAGGAGGCATGAGTAGGGAGCAAGGGTCACCACCGGCCTCTGCCATGGCACATTACTTCAGAAATGCAGCCTGTACACCCTTATTTACAAAAGGAGCACCTATGGCAATTGAGGTATCTACTAATCGTGTCCAAAATTCCTTTCTCCACCACAGGAGTCAGGTCCTCTGGCAGCTATTAGGTTGTAGCATGGAGTTCACATTGAGATTGTTTTAACTTCTCATTCAAGAATCATAACCTCAAGGGGTTTTGTGATTTTTTTTTTTTAAGATTTGGACTAAAGCATGTGACTTCAAATCCAGGCTCTGCTACTTTTTATCATTTTGGTTTGGGCACACTCTTACCCCCTCCCTGAGCTTGCTGTTCTTCCTCTGAGCAGGTTTCATTAGATAATATCCTGTGGCCTTTCCATCTCTTAATCCTGTGGTCATGTCAGTGAAGAATATAATTTGTTTGAGCAAATGAAGGCTTCTCTAACTTTTCATAGAAGAGTTATGCCTAGAAATAGGCCTACCTGAACATGGGCCATGGGAGACTGTAGAAGAAGTCCAGAAGTTATCAACATATCCTCTAGTGAAACAAGTGAGTGAGGCATTTATAATATTACGCATGGAATACCAGAACATCAAAGAGTTGTTACAGATTCAAAGAAGGATGACTCTGGATTCAAGGTGGCACTAGCAGCTGCAAAGAGCCCACACATTTCCTCAAAAACCCAACTCAGTGAATAAACTTCACAGGAATCACTTCTTGATCAAAGGCCCATAGGTTATTTAAGCACTTAATCTCCCTTCCTACATTTCACCCTCACCCTTAAAATGGGATCAAAGATAGAGAGACTTCTTGGGGAACTTCAGGCACTTTAGTCTAATTATACTTGTTTTATAAATGAGTGAACAGATCCAGAGAGAACAGTTAATTGCCCAAGGTCATAGAGACAACCTTGAAAGAAAGAACTTGGCCTCAAATTCTTGTCTACTGACTCCAAGGACCTTGTCAATGTTCTGGGATGAGAAGCCCATTCAGAACAGGGGAGGGCTGATTCAGGCCTGTGTCAAAGCCATCAGAGTCCTCAAGAAGGATTTTATGTAGTGCCTACAATGTCCCAGGTAGTATGTTTGGCACTAGAGGTACAACAATGAAAAGGGAACAATCCTGTCCTCAAGAAATTTATATTCTACTGAAGGACTACATGTTCAGAGTTAAGTAAATTCAGGATTGGAGATGAGGAGGAGGGGAGCACTGATATCTGGGGATTCTGAGAGATGAGGAGGGAGTACTTTTCATGCATGGGGCATGGCCTGTGTGAAGTCACAAAGACAGGGATGTCATGTTCCATGTAGGGTACAATGAGCAGGCCAGTCTGACCTTCATGAAGGTGAGGCATAGGTAATCAGCGTGAAAAGGGAGACTGGATCAAGATTGTTAAGGGCTTTCAAAAGCAAGCAGAAGAGTTACTATTCTCTTTTAGGGGCCCTAGTTGCCCTGTAGCTTCTTGATCAGAGGAATGACATGGTCATAGAATTGTGATTTAGGAATGCCAGTGTGGAAGCTGTGTGATGATGGGTTCTTGAGGGGAGTGGCAAGATGAAGGGGATGGAGAAGGAACTAGCATTCACTGAGCTCCAGGTGTTTGTCAGGTCCTGTGCTTTTTCTAACTGTTATCTCCTTTGATCCTCACAACATCCCTAGGAGGGAGATGCCATTATTAACCCCATTTTACAGTTGCGGACTCTGAAGCAGCCAGAGCCTAAGTGGTCACAGAAATAGTAAGGGTCTGAGCTAACTGAACTCAGGTCTTCCTGAGTCTAGGCCCAGTGTTCCATCCACTGCATCACTGAGCTTCCAAGGATGAATGTACCACTGGGTGGAGAGCCCCTCACCATCACCCTCACTAGGAGACTGTTGCTATTGCTAAGTCTTGAATTTGGGTGGTTATGGTATGAGTGGGGGGAGGGGATGTATGTTAGAAATATGGAGAAGTGAACTAATGACAACTTGGCTGCTTAATGGACTCGAGGTGGGAGTGGGAGTATCATCAGTCTGGGATGACTCTAGGGTTTTGAATCTGGGTGGCTTAAAAGGGGGTGGTGCAATGCTTGGAATACATAATAGGTGATGAATAAATTCTTGTTGCCTTAGTGACCTCAACAGAAGTAGGCAAATTAATAGAGTGCGTTTAGAGAACATATTAAGTGAATTTGGAATGCCTATGAGACTTCCAATTGGAAATGCCAAGCAGGCATATGACTGGAGCTCAGGAAAGGGAAGAAGGTTTGTATATGTAGACATAGGTGTTTTCAGCCCCAGTGGTAGATGAGAATTGAATACTTGGACACTGAAAAATGAGTGAGAGACAGACATTCAGAGACAGAGACATTGAGACAAGAGTAGAGGGTCCAGGACAGAACTATGGGAAATAGGGTGTAAAATCTTTGATTAAGGAGAGCAGGGAGGGGCCAGAGAGTTGTAGAGAGGCAGATTTGGCCTCAATGTCAGGAAAATCATCCTAATCCTTAAAACTATGGAAAGTAGAATGAGTTGCCTAGGGAAGTAATGAGTTCCCTCCCACTGGAGGCATTCAAGAAAAGGCTTGTTGATACTTGTCTGGGATATAAAATTACAGAAAGAGTATCTGAGCTCTTATCTGGCTTTTCCAGACAATGGCATTCTTTATAATCTTTGTAAAATAGATATTTGAATCAATGGTTTTATATATATGTATATGTTTATATATATATATATATCTGCATACATATATATATACATATATACACACACACACACACATATATATATATATATATATATATATGCATATATACACATACATATACATGTGGTACACACATATGGGTGGGGTACGAAGACCCTTACCAATAAATTGGAGACTCAGAGATATTAGCAAAAAGAATAGTTCATTCATTGGCTTTCTCAAGAAAGAGCTCTCTCAGAGCACCCACAAGATGGCACCGACTGAAGAGAGCGGGAACGTGTTCAGCTCAGCTCATCAGATTATATAGATCCTAACTGCAGTCCCCCTGCCCACCCACTGGCTCTTCTTCCCATTGGCTGGGTTTCGGAGCTCACAGTCTAAGTGAGGAAACTTCTTCCCAGCACCAAGGACAAAAAGGGTGCGAAACAGGGCCAACAACTAGGGAGGGGGCCTGAGGAGGGATAAAATCTGGGTGAACACGATGTGGCTGTGTCACCTGATCTTGTGACACTTTGCTTTCTCAGCAAGGCAGCTTCTAAGAAATGTAGGGAGGGGTCAACTCCACTGAGGGGGCTTCACTATTTCAGCATTCCATTCAATCCCCTCCTCTTATTTTCATCCTTTTGAAGACCCCTCACACCATTCTTGGTAAACCTCATCAACCCAGTCTTTGCCTCCCTCGGGACCCCGACGTTCTTCTGCTACAAGGTAATCTAGTACTCGCCTATGTTGGAGGACTGCTTCTCTTGTCTGAGTTGCCTGGTCTGCTAATAAGTCAAGAGCCCTTGTAGTCTGGTTAGTGATAATTTCTACTACTGCCTATTTAACATATAAATTGGTGTTATTGTATCCCCAACTACCATCCTGTGCTGCAGGTAGTGGGTCCATAAGTTTGGATAATCCTATCCGGGGCCAAGTATCACTCCCTCTGTTTACATCTCTGATACTGGTAAGGGAAATGTCTATGCTTCTCTTTTCTCTTTTTAGATAAAAACTTTGGTCTCACTGAGCCTATATAACACACCCCAGTCCAATTAACAGGAAGGTGTGTATATGCTGTTAATCCACAGATCCAATAATGTCCTTCCAAAGCGGGCTGCTCTTTTTCAAAAATTTGGATACTATTTTGAATGAAGGGATAATACTGTTGGTCCTTGGTTCTGAGGGGACCCCCCCCCCACTAGACTTGGATACTGACATTTCCATAATGCATGTTGTTCCCTACGTTCACTTTTCTCTGTAGGCCACTGAAAGGAAAGGTTAGAGTTGCTCCAAAAATCAGAGAACAGAGTTTGTATGCCACCTTTAGTATGTGCACCAAGCGTGTTGTTATGCCATCCCCATTTGTGGGTTTTCCCCAAATATATTTGTCCCTTTGTCTGATTGGAAAGGATTAAACCCATTAGGGAGTAAACAAAGGGAACTGCTAACATAGAAGGCTAAAACAGGGATAGTTATTAGCAAAAACAACACAATACGCAGTCTCTTCACCCATTAATAGGAACCTTCTTCAATTTCACTTTTAAGTCTTCAGGGCTCAGCTGCACCACTCTCCATTCAGCTAGGGGGCCACTGGTCCCTTGACTTGGGTGTAAGAGTCCAACCTTGTTCCTTGGTCCTAACTGCAGCATTAGAGGTCAGTAGGATCTGGAATGGTCCCTCCCAAGAGGGAATGAGTTTCTCTTCTTTCCAGGTCTGAATCAACACCTAGTCACCAGGCTAAAATTTGTGCACTGGGGACCCCAGAGGAGGTGTTTGGGCTATTAGTCCTTTCTTCTGTAACAAGATTAGAGATTTTGCCAAGGACTGTACATATTCTCTAAGAAACTTGTCCTTACAGCCTATGTTCAAGACTCCTTCTCTCCCTGTTGGAT